TTGGTAACAAGGTAATAATTATGTCAACTTGAAACTTACCACCCAAGTCAGTCCTATTGATCTTCAGCTAATTTTAAATAATAAACAATCATTTTCCAAAATTCGATTTCATACTGGAGTTCCTTAGGCTATCTTGATGCTATTCAAGTCTGATATAGTACTTTAGCATACTCTCCATCTAATCTCACCAAAATATCTTATTGACATTTAACATGATGCTTGAAGAAAATAAAATAATGTAAATGTTAGCTTTGGAGCGTATTCGAGGTAAACTCTAGAATATTGCACCAATTCATCTCATTTGCCTTATTTCACTTATTCAAAGCATTAATGTTCTCTTGGGTATCTTAAAGTAAAAGGATTATGTTTTAGGAGTAGTAAATACATTTGTACCACCATGTTGTGAATAAAATATCTAAATTCCTTTTCTAGTCATTATAAATGAAGTCTACATACATTGAAATTAGCAAGCAGATAAAATGGATTAGACATAATTAGTCTGAATATAAATGCATTCATACAATATGCAAGGTGAATTATTAATACTGTCATGCATATTTAGAATTAAAATGAATTTGTTTACCACATAATATAATAAATCTAAATCGAACAAGAGATCATTATCATTATTGGTGAACAATCCCTTTTAATTAATATGGGTTCCTCAACTCTGTAGCATAATAAATCAACCAATCAATATGTCAATAACTTATCCTGTTGGAGGAGTTCATTATTACTATTGTAGAGATTCATTTGCTATTAGGCGAGCACTTCCATTAAAATAATAATATGTGGGTCCCTTAACCACTGCATGAAAAATCGAATAACCAATACGCCAATAACTTATTCGGTTGGCGAAGTTCATTATTGCTATTGGCGGGCAAATCCCATCATTTCCATATCTCTTAAGACAATACCTTGTCTATCATATGAAATGATTCCCGATTTAATTTAGCCTTTCTAAAATCACCTAGTGTAGACCACTTCGTTGGGAAGCTAACACTATTGATTTTAGATTGAGTGTATAACGTTATTAAAACTCTAACGAAAAATTAAACATTAAATATGTTGTCATTATAATCTAGACTCTTTAAATCATGCGTAAAGCCTTATTTTTAAAGATCTAATTACAATGAACATTTAATATTTGTATTTTCATGAAGACAACCATTCTTGTAATATTAAGACTCTTCAAATCATGCGTGGGGCCTTATTTTTGAAGATCTAATTACAATGGTATTAATAACGAAGGCCATGGGGCAATGTATAAAAATCCCCGCTCCCACTCAATTTTTAATCATTCATAATTAAGGTTTTCATTTTATTCAAATACATGATATGATCCATGCAAAACGTCTTGATTTTAATCCAATTAAATTTAGAAAACATTTGAACTTAAATAATTCACTAATATTTAATTTGAGGCACACTTCAAAAATAATTTACAAAAATAATTTTTTGTTTCCCAATAAGTGCCCTCTAATTAATTAGTAATCAAATCCAATTAATTTTCATAATTTAACTAATATAAATCAAGCCATTTAAATAAGTATCATGGATCCAATGCATGAACAATAATAATTAGCAATTAATTATTTCATGCATCACATATAACAATAAATGACAGATAAAGCAAATTAAATGGCCAATGGATTCAACTTTTAACATTTAATTGCTCTAAGTATAGCGCGAGGATCATCCATCGGCTTGCAAACACCCACATAAGGCTGGTATACACCAAGAGAAGCAAAACACCGCTTGGAACGTGCCTGGAGGGCCCCACACGCGCTCACATGCGCCTGGGGCGCGTGGGACACGCCCCCACGCGCTGGCACATGCGTGGGGCGCGTGGGACGCACCTCCATGCGCCTGCACGTGCGTGGAGGGAAGGTGGATTTGGCTGGCGCGTGAGACCCACGCGCCAGCATGTCTTCAATGCCTCTAGCTCTTGGCGCGTGCTCCTCACGCGCCAGGCTCACTATCATAGAGCTGCACCTGATTCTAGCCTCCTCCGACCTCTCTTCTTGCCGCCGGCGATGCTCCGGCCACCGGAAAAACGCCGAAAAATCTCAGAAAAATTCCCAGAAAATTAAATTAAGCCTCAAAAAATTTCAAAAAAATTCCAAAAAATTCAGAAAAATTCCAGAAAATTACTGAAGCATAATTTAACCCTTTTGGACCTTCTTGAAACTTCATAGCACCCTTTGATGAATATTACATGGCTTTAAAAATATTTACAACTTGAAATACAATGGAAAAAATAAATTACATCATTGAACTTTCAAACGGCTAAATCAAAGCCTTAATTACATCCATCCAAAGATAAAATTACATTAATTTAACCTATAAGCTTCATCCATGGCCCAACCATACATCATCATTCATTCACAATTATTCATACATCATCATGTATCAATATATATCAACATATTAAATCATACATCAACATACATCAATAAAAATATATATGAATATAATTTTGGATCCATGAATGATGATTTTCATAAAATCATGATCTCTAATAATGAATCAAACCATGCTCTGATACCACTGTTAGGAAACGTGCAAGTTTTAAAAACTTTTCGAGGGATTTTGATTCATAGATCTTGATTCATCACATAGAGATAAGTTTTATGCAAAAATAAAAATATGATGTATCATTCAATTAATGGATTGAATACTTACATCAAAGGTCTGAGTAAACCTTTAAAATTTTCCTCTAAAGTGAATGTTCTCACTTATTGTAGATCCCTTAGCAAGATGCCTTCTCCTTGGATCTCCATCTTCTTGGTAATTATTTTGCCTTTAGGAATCATTCATAAGCCTTCATGAATTACCTCAGAAAACTAGGCTTGTGGGAGCCTCCATTAGATGAGAACATAAACCCTAATTTTCTAGAGAGAGAAAAAATATTACTTTTTTCCTTCTCATAAAAATCACACCCTAAAATATACATAGACCATGTATATTTATAGGCAACATAAAAATAAAGAAAAGGAAACAACAAATCCTTCTCCATCTCTAATTCATATGTCTCAAATCTAATATGATTCCAATATCAAATTGGGCTATGAGTGAGAATCCATTGGGCCTATTATTTTATTGGCTACAATGAATTAATAATTGGCCCGGTCCATGGACCCAATTCAATTAATTCATAAATTAATTTCTACTCCACTAAAAGAAATTAATTGAACTCCAATTAAATAATAAATAACCTCTAAGTCAATATTGCACTTTGACCCCTCTATGCATAATTAGTTATCGGATAAATAAAGCCATCAATCTGACTACTTAATTAATATATCTATTTTGGTACCTTTGATTATTTCTGGCTCGATCACAATAAAACATTTGTTTGACAAAAATAATAATTTAAATAAATAAATATATAATAAATCATTTTGTCTAAAAATACACGAAGGCCTTCGAATTTATTTTGTAATCAACCATAATCAATACAAAATAAATACAAGTAGCAATGATGCAAATATTGAAAATATAACCCTCTAACTATTAATTACATAACTACCCAAAGTGTCGGTCTAAGGATCCCGAAGAATCCGCCGAACAAATCAAAATAATTATTAATTAATAAAAGAGTCTATAATTTTCTCATACTTAAGAGTCAAATGCCATGACGGTGATAGGGAGCAATTGCATACGACGGCTCTCGCAATATATCTCAACCTAACGCGGATCCAGTTCAAATCTTAATTAATTATGAGTCCATCCATAATTACCGACTATGAACCATTTATGATTACTATTTATATATCATGCATTGATTGCCATCACAAACATATATATAAATATCTCTTGTAATCAAATAGACACTATCAATTCTATAATGAATCGAAATATAATACATTGAATTCACCAATTGTATAAAACATAAATATTTCATAAACGTCAGGAACATATGTCACTTTAATCCAAACAGGAATTTGCTATACCAGGACATATAAATCCCAACAGTAGTATCACCATGACACCCCACTTAACATTGCACTTTGCCAGGATATAATTATCACTACCAAGCTAATTGGACACAAGAACATTACTTGAATTATCAGAATGACGTAAGAAAATATGGAGGATAATCATTCTCAACGGTATTGATGGAAGAATTAAAAAAGATTGGAATGAGCTAGAGAGAGAAAACTCTGAAAAGATTTATGAGAAAAGTGCACCTGATGCCATGAAAAATTGTGAATTTTCTCTTGCGTTGTTTCATTTACAACATAACAGTATATAAAACTAAATTTATAAATCAATTCCCTAAATTAAATGGACTCATATCTCAAATCTTTTATTTTTTATTTGATCAAATTACCCTCAATTGGTCCTCATGAGCAATGACAATTAATTTTTAAGTTTGGTTACTTCCTTCATTGTAAAGTAAAATTTTTAAATTTTAATTGATCAGCAAAATCTAATTTTCCTTAAAAGAAATATTAAAAAAGAAACTTGTTGGACCAAGTCTCCAAGAATGCAGATTGAAACTCATAAATTAAATAAGTCCGCAAGATTATTTAAATGAAAATAACATAAGACCAAGAGTTCGTTCCATGGGTTAAATTTCAGCAATTAATTATAGAAAGTGATCATTATAAATGAAAGAAGAACCATTTATATTCATTTATACAAATTATACAAAAGAAATCGCAAGTTGTTTTTTTTTTTTTTTTTCTTTCTACTTGACCAATATAAATTAGGTGCTTAAGTCATTTGAATCTGACCACCAGAAGTTGGAGCGCTCTCTGGAGTTGGCCCAATTTTCCCCATTTTCCTTTTCAATAAATATAGTAGAAAGCAAATGGTGGAAGTGGCTGCATAGATTACATAGAAGCCTAAGAAGTCCTCAATGGTCAAGCTATCATTTTCTTCGATAGTTTGGGACTTCAAACACTCCGAGGAGGGAGTAAACAACTGTTTCTCTAATTCTTTTATCTTTCCATTTTCTGATAGTTTAAGAATGGCTCTAGAAACATTAGCAGCTAATGTAGAACCTTTTTGAAAGACCTGCACGGAAAGCATGAACAATAATTTAATTACAATCAGTTATCCCAAATGTATTAACGGAATTGTGATATATATATATATATATATATATATATATATATATATATGTAGTATAGCTGAAAAAATAAAAAATTGTCTGAAGTATGTTTTTTTTTTTTTGGTGTAGCAAATAACTTGGAGATATTAGAGAATGAAATGAGTGGAAAGAGTTCCATTCACTACTACTCACGAAGCCTAATCCTCCAAATCTTCTGGTGAATGATCCATCGCCATACGCGTACTGCTTGCAGTGTTTGTTGACAAAAACTTTGGCATGAGGCACTTCAAGAACTGCTGCTTGAATCCTGCCATTCTTGAATGCAGTCTGGAACTCGCTTTCGCTGCCGATGTCAATGATGTTACCTGGTTCAAAAAGCTCATCTTCCTCCAAGTACTTCCTAACAAATGCAGCACCATCGCACCCCACTATTGCATTTGTTGTCTTTATCCACTCGATATCTCTCACAGGTGACTGGAGTCTTGAGAAGGTGAGCATTGAAGTGAGGCTCGCAGCGTAGCTTTCTATTAAGATCAACACCACAAAAAGCCACACCACGATCACGGTTCGAGTATAGTTGCTTTTAATCTTCTCCCCTTCAAAATCAAAAATAAAATTTTATTCGTATATATCCATGTAAGTAGAAAAGTATTGGGATTTCATTTTTTTGCGTATATGCAATTATATTTATAAGTATTTACCTCCTAATTGGGCTAATGGTAGCATCATGAAGTCTATTTTCTTTGAAATCTCTCCAAATTGGGGCATGCTATTGGATATTTATGTTCTTAATTATTAAATAATAATAATACTTCTCACTACTGATGTGACATATTATAAAATAATGACATGTGTCCATTTTAATTTAAAATATCTAAAGAAAAAAATACAAAGGAAAGCATTTATTACAAATAGTTCCTCATAACCCTGCCTCCAAAAAGCCTCCTAGTGAGCATTTAAGGGTGTGTGAGAGAATTTACCTAAATTGAAAAAAAAGTTAAAAACGTTTTTTTTTTTTTTTTGGGAAAGTAAAAAAAAATTAAAAACTTAGCTTGCCTCCAAATCTAAGCATAAATAAAATGGTACTGTTAATTCTGTGATTGCTGTTTAACTTGATAATATACTTACTGTGAGCAAAGAACAGAGTAGAGAAGGTGAACCAAAGCACATTGCCAAGTTGTTCCTTCCATGGGCCACTAAATTCTGGATTGGAACGTTGCTCCAAGAACCAAACTATGAACATTGTGTAGAAGAAGATTGCCCCCGTCGCCACCCACATTTTCATGGTGAAAGGCTTCAGAAACAACCATGCTTTTGAAGTTCTTGGCTTCACTGGAACTACTATAAGCAAACCTGACTCGATAAAAGGTACTGTAAATTCCACTTGGTCCCAACGCTCAGTTGTTATCGTTATGTCACCAACAGCAGCATCAAAAGTCTTCCATCAATTTTTATCGACAAGTAGAAAACCCACATATCAGCAACATATATATAGTTGGAAGAGCAGGAAAAAAATTTGAATTGAGAATATTAAAAAAAAAAAATATATATATATATATATATATATATATATATATGATCTTTCATCCAGATACGTTGTAATACATTCAAAATCAAATAAGGATTTCTCATCACCCCAACAAAGTCACATTTGGATGGTCAGGTTAGAACTAATAAAGGTGTAACTTGTACTAAACTTGAAACTAAATGGCTAACTAATTAATTAAATTGACAGATGTTTGAAAATGGTCAAGAGATCAGGTGATGTGTGATTACCTCGTTATGAACCGATTCAACCAAATCATTGTAGCTTCCATTGTACTGGTGAAATTCTGTAGTAGACGGTAGACTATAAATATGATCGTCCTCCAAAATCTTTTTCACCTCCTCATAAACACTGATACAAAAACCAGTAAACCTCTTCTTGTCTGGGCTAAGGAATTCCTTAAAAGAGACTATACCAGGAACTGCAATATTCATTGGTCTTGCATAAAGATCGGCTAGTATCACCCCTTCTCTCAGGATTCGCTTTGGGTCCCCAGGCCTTAACACCTCCGCGAAACCAGCCAATTTTTTCATGGTACTAGGGCTATCTGAGAACCCCAACTCTGATGACCAAAAGCCAAGGTTATTGTTTTCCTGATTGCCAAAGTTCACTATACTAAATTTTTGGTAGCTTGAAAGTCTTCCCTCTTCAAATCGCAATTCTCCACTTAAACCTGTGAAGTTGCTTGATAAAATACTTTCCAACATTTTTGAGGAATTCATTTTACCAGCTGATTTCACTATCGCCTGTGTAATAGTCATAATGCTATCATAAGCTCGTAGCGCATGAATTCCAGGCTCAGTGTTATCTTCCTCGGGATAATCTAATTGGAAATTTTGCTGAAACTGCTCATGAAAGTGTTTGAAAGAACTGCTATTTTCGGAATAGTAGGGGTTAATTCCAAGAGTACCTTCCATGGCAGAGACAGCAGGAGGGCTGACAGAATTCAGAAGGCTTCTGGTGGTGTCTGCAATTATCCACACCGAGTCTTTTTGCATAAAGCTCATTTTCTTCGCTTCACTGAACAAAAGATTTGTCAGCGGTAATGATGACTGTAGAAAAATAAACACCCTAGATTTTGTGGTGTTTTCTAACTTAGACAGCTCCTTATTTATGGACTGCTGAGGATTTGATAGATCAGAAAATGGTGGAAGCACCAGATGATAGTCTATATCCGACCCAACATTTTTAAGGGCCTTGGATAACAGGGTTAGCTTCCTGGAATCACTTCCATGGATGTCTTCTTCATAGATAACTACAACGCTTCTTCGCCAATTGAAGGATTGAACAATAGCTGCAATGCAATTCATTTGTTCGGAGTCATCTGTAACCATTTGCACCAAGAAAGGCCATCCAAGCCGCACCAATGCTGGTGTAAATGGAACGGTTACAAATGAAAGAACTGGGACTCGAGCTCGGGATCCGATGTCTGCCACTAAAGCGGCTTCCTCCCATGTCTCCATGCCCATAATCACTTGGACTTGTTTCTCCTTAATCAGCTCTTCAGCTGTAGCAAAATTCAGAAACCCCATAAACATTAATTTATATAAATACACTACCTTATTACATTCAATTATATACTTGGAAACTGCTTCTTAACGAAAAAAAAAAAATCTAACTAAGAAATAATATTAATTAGATATATACTTTCATGTGAGTCTACATATTCATGAAGGTACTTATTTGACTCGAGTAGAATTAGGTGCATATATATACCATTCCAAACATATGTACATAACTACACATATATAAATCTATGCAGATGTTCATGATGACTTGATTGGCAGAGAGAATTTCAGAAAAGGCAAAGAAAATAACTAATTACTAACCAGCATGAGCTGATCGGATGGGGTCACTGCCAGAATTTCGAAAATGAAGAGAGAGCTTGTGAAGTTCGGACTTCTTGTTGAAGTTGTGAAATGCTATTTTCATGGCCATCTTTTTTTCTTTGCCGATACGAGAATCAACATCAGTGATGGCACCGATTTGTATAGTTACTTTGTGAGCTTCAGCAATGAATCCATGAGAAAGAAAAAGAAGGAAGGAGATGAAGACATGAAAAAACAAACAACTGGGTCTGAAAGTAGCAATATTCAAGTTGGAGATGAGTAGTAGGAAAGTCATTATTGGCTTTAAACTCATAATCTATGCTGGATGGATACCGTTATTCCTAATATATAATATATTTATATACATGTATAAAACACTGTTAGAAAGAGGTGTGGGGGGAAATTTCGGCCTATGGTCCAAGCATGCATAAGACTTATTCCACATGGCTTCAAAAGTCGCTCGACGTGTGGAAATTAGCCAAATAAAGATTGGGTTTCGCTTCATTTAATTTGGAAAATTAAAATTACCATTATATGGTATGTTCAGCTGAGAATGGATTCAGAATATTCTGAAAAATAAAAAATAAATAAAATAAAATAAAAACAACTGGGGTAATCCACTAGTATTTTTCCTGTCTAACCAATCAAAACAATCATTTCTTAAGTGTATTGTTATAAGAGAAATAAATGTTCATTTAATTGTGAAAGTAACAAACTTGTTACCAACTCCATCTCATTTTATTATTATTATTATTTTGAGTTAATTTCAGTAACACTTTAAGTAAGTTTGGTGACTTTGGTCAAATATTACTCTCAAATATTTTTTAAAAATAATTATAACTTAGATTATTTTTAAGATAACTTTGCCTTTAATTTTTTAATTTCTATTTATTTTAAAATATTACCTCGATCCACTATGTCATTTTTAGATGTGCTAAATTAGTTGTCTACTTTTAAAAGTCAAAACAAATAAGGCTTATCTTTTCATCATTATCCTTTATATTTTTTTAATTTTTTAAATTTGGTAACTATACATATTTAAACTAAAAAAGACAAATTAGTAATTTTAAATATACATATTTAAACTAAAAAAACAAGTTAGTAATTTTAAAAGGGAACAATGTATTAATTGCATGTCCCTTAAAAACTCTAATTTCTATATATGGACATCAATATGTAAAGTACCATTATACCCCTAATTAATACTCCCACTCATATCTTCCTCACTTTTAACAATTTTGCTGGAGAATACAGCAGTGATGTGGTTTTGAGGAGCTATGGCCGGAGAGTATGGAGTAGGCGAGGGAGAGGAAGAGGGACTTGATAGAGGACTGGAATGAAGAAAAAGAAAGGTCACTGACCTCGCAGCAAATGTAGGATAGGAAGACTGTTGCTGGCGGCAACCTGCAGCAGCCATGGTGGCGAGCAAGTCACCGCCATTCTCACGCCGACCAGTCCATGGTTGTCAAAATCGCGATTCTGAGTCGTAGAATCGTCGAGTCAAATCGCAGCAGAATTGTTTAATTAGTAGAATCGGGGGTAGAATCGTAGAATCGGAGGTCGTACGATTCTACACGATTCTACCGATTCTACGAAATTGGTTGTTTGGGCCTTTATTTTTGGGCTTTCTTTTATTTTTTGGTTGGTTTCTTCTGGGCTACAAAATAAAAGAGGCCTGGTCCAAGTGTATTATACAAAGTTAAATATTTATTCTATAAAATATAAATTATTTTTCATTAGTGGCAGAAAAAGAAATATATATATGTATATATATCAATTATTTTTACCATGCATGTTGATGTTTCATAATATATTTTTGTGTTTAATTATAAAAAATTAAAATGATCAATTATATCTCAAGGATGCATACTCGTGACTAACAGGTTTAGGCAAATTTTGGTTTCATTTGACTAATTTTTTTTTGAAGGCTTATCATATATATTAAAAATTAAAAATAATTTAAAAGCTTAAAAGACTTGCCGAATATGCCAGCCAATGTATAATCTTGTAGTCTAAATTGATAATATAATGAGATCAAGTTAACGCGTGGTTCATATTTTGTTGTGCTAACTCTTGATTAATTTCATACTTGTGACTAATAAAGTCACATACACCGTAACACTTGGATTGGTGGACAAAAAGGTCTTTTTATTTCTTCAGTTTTCGAAAAAAAAAAAATTGTATAGAGTTAAAAAAAAAAAAAAAAAAAAAAAAAAAAAAAAAAAAAAAAAGGTTTACTTTTGATATGTAATTTTATTTTCTAACTTTGGAGATGGATGGGTTAAGATTTGAGATTTGTAAATTCATGTTATTTTGAGTTATATTCTCTTTTATTTATATTCGGATTTTGAAATATTGTTAGGATTTGAGATTTGTGAACTCATGGATATGTAATATTATGTGTTTTGACCTCATTTTTGTTATATTTTACAGATCTTATTGTTTAAGAAGTTAGTTTCAATTGTTTTTCACAATTTGGTAGAATCTTACGATTCACGATCCGATTCTACGATTCCGATTCTACGGAGCCCAAAACGATTCTGCCTAGAATCCCGATTTTAACAACCTTGGACCAGTCGCTGCCCAAAAGCAACAACCAAACTTGGTTGCTTTTCTGATACAGGGAGCATAGGTTGCTGAATCCTTCAACAACGGTCATTGCTGTCTATGGCGCGACCCTTGGTTGCTTTTACCCCTACTTTTCGCCACCGAACATGGTGGATACCCCTTTGGTCGTAGAGATCGACATTAGGTGTGGGTTGCGATCGCGACCCAGTAGCTGTTATGATCGCTGGACCAATGGTCAATGCGTCCCTCACAAATCTCATTTTCACATAACAATTGCATTAATTTATTTATTCATTTTTGTAGGGTTTTCTCTCTCTTTGATCTACTAATCTTGAATCAATTCAATTGCTATACTCGCACATAGACACTTTGATGTTTGATCGCATCAACCGGTACTCTGCAATAATAAATTATTCACTTTGGATAATCTTGAATCATTGATATCAATGAAGCTATTGCAATAATGTTTTTTTTTTCTTGATAATCTTGAATCACTGATTTCAATGATGAACGAACAAGTCGATGGTGTCTTTGAAGGCCTTTGGGTCGAGTAAGAGCGCCATGATGTCTTAAAACATAATCCCTGTTATTAGGCAATTAATAAGCACTATTAAGTGATTAATTCCAACCGGTTAATAATTAAACACAGAGAAATAAGGTTCATTTGTGAGATTAAGCGAAAATATATACATATTTGGCTTGGGGAAGTTAGGAACAACACATATTTTAGATTTGATGTCATGAACGCGAGCTAATAAAGAGAGAAAATAAGGAGGTTCTTGTTTTCTCTCTCTGTATATATAGATGAACTAATTTGGGAAGATGAATTAATTTGGGAAGAGGCATGAGTATTTTGGTATTTTAAATATTTTTTTAGAATTAAAGGGGATTTTGAAATGTCAAAGGGGTGACAATGTATTATTATATGTAAAAGTGGTGTGACAAATCTAAAAAGTAATTTTTGGGGTGTGAGTGAAAAATTGATCAAACGTTTGCGAGTAAGATAGGATAATTTATTTATTTATTTATTTATTTATTTATTTTTCAATACATACTCATAAAATATTGTTAATACCCTCTTGAAATTATTACAAAATTTTAGTCTTACCCCCTTACCTAAAGTTCTGAATCTGCCCCTATTTATAATGTTGGTGATATTAATTTTTGAAAAATATTTTAATATGATATTTGGTAATACCTAAGGGGTAGTAGTAAAATTTAAAAAATTGCGTATATGCTTTATGAACTTCGTCTCTCATTTCATAGCATTAAAGAAATATGTCTTTTAGAATAAAACACGTTTCTCATGAATCTATGGTACTCGGATGGGAGTGTATATTCAAATTCTTCTATGCCACGCGGGTTTGAACACAAATCTACGAAGAGTGAGAGTGAGAGAGAGAGGTTCATTGACTGACCTTCACCAAGAAATTATAGTAGGATGAAAAATCAACAAAAAGAATCCAAAATCTTTAATTAAGTTGAATTGGTCTGTGTACAATTTAGTCTTAAATAATTAATCCAGAACTGGTCAATTGGCGCAAGTACCATCCATGCTTCCACCTTATATAAAATTAATTCCAGGGCTTTGTGATTTGAACATTTCATTTTGACGACTTTGTGAATTTCAAGTTTTCTTAACAAGTACTCCACGACTCCCAGTAACGGTTTAAAAAAATTGTTTCTGCGGGACTATGAACAATTAGTGAGATAAAAAAATATATTTAAATAAAAATAATATTTAACTTAATTATAGATTAATAATATTGTTGTTCAATTCATTTATAATTGTTCTAAACTAGTTTATATGTCATCTATCTTTCAAAGCTAGGCACAACAATTGGTAAAATATTGTTGTTTTTTTTTGTTTTTTTCTGAGTGGAGAACGGGATTGGTAGGGTGTTTATGTAATATGGACACAGGACACACAGATACAAAATGATACGGCCTCAAATTTTAAAAAAATAGGTATATAAAAATATGAATTTTTATTTATATACATGTATTGAGTAATATTATTATAAATCTGTAATTCATTTACTATTTTTATACTAAGAGTTTGTATTGACTTTTCCCGAATCGACCCCATAATGTAAATAATTCATCCTATTTATTTTTATTTTAATTTTTTCATTAATTAGAAACACACACACACACCACTCACACACCCACTTTTTACCCTTTTGGAAACTTTAACCCTCACCTTCCACTTTAGGAAGTAGAAGACATACCATAAGACCCTTGATATTTTTATTTTTATTTTTATTATTTTGTTACTAAGGGGTCTTTTACAACCAATGTTCTTTTTAATTTTCATTATTGAGGGGTAAAATAGTAATTGAATGTATGTTAGCTACACCCCAATAGTACATACTAATAGTTGACCAAAACCTTGAAAGTTAAGGCTTTTTATTTTATTTTATTATTATTGACCCTTTTTCATTTATCAAATTAAAAAAAAAAAAAATGATCACTAACAAAGTAGAGAGACGTTTCAAGTTGATTGCAGAAGGTAGAGAATTAACCTAATTAGGGGTATCATAGTGAAATAGTCTGTATGATTCAATAGGGTGCAAAATTAACCCTAGATACAAAATCAAGACGACAAGGGCTAACCTTTTTTCAATTATTATATCATGACTATATAAATTCAAAATAAGGAAACAATTCTTCAAATGAAACCTTGTGCATTAAGTTTGCCATTATATTGTACAAAATCAAGAAGCAATATGTTTAATTTAGTTAGGGTACCCAACAGCCATATTTTGTTGATCAGTAGAGTTGAAAGAAATTGAAATATCGATATAAGCATCTAAATAATTCTAACATGCCGTAGTGATTATTCAAGCACAGCTGTAATAAAGACAAAGTTTCTTTCTAATCATTGTAGTGCACTACTACTATTGATGAATAAATTATAGGACCTAAAAGAAAATGCACGGAGGAACTACTAAGTACAAATATTGAGATTTCAACAGTCTAAATCCAAAACTCTAAATAATCAAACACTTGCTATTTACGATATTTAGTTATTATGATGTTGATGGTAATAATACTAGAGTCAAACTTGACCAAATCAAGTAGAATTGAAAATTGAGGTCATTTGGAAAATTTTCAGACCCCCATCCTGGGGGTAAGGAAAACGTAACAAAACCCTCCCAAGACTGGACTGGGCATACATAGTGGGTCTTTGGCCAAAACAAGCCCAAATTGGGACTACAATAAAGCCCAATGGAAGGAGGGTATTAGATCGAGCTCCATTCCGATGAGCCCTAGTAGCAGTTATCCGACGACTTGGCCGACGCAATTTCAGTCCGGTGGTCTTGGAGGGGGACGGCAATATGAAGGCGAGAGGTTTCACTCACTTAGAATCCTTCTTGATGATGGACAATCATGGAGGAAACCCAATTTCAATAAGAAAGTAATAAGCGTTCATTTTCAAAATTATAGCGGCAAAAAAAATATCCCGTTCTATTCAATATCTCTATGGGGTAAAGTAGGCTCGAAAACAATTAACAAAAAATTTCGCTTAATAACAATGAATAATAATGAAAGTGCTTCATTTTTTTCAAAGAAGACATATCGAATTTTTCCTTGCCATAATGGTTCAATTCCTATTAGTATCTTTGATACAAGTCGGATCCTTGATGTAGAAATATAAGGTGAACCCCCTCTCCATCGAAAGAAATAAGATTATCGTGAATACAACATACAACACATTAAGAAAAAGAATTAACCACTTGAACTATTAGATAATCATAGTCGGTGATAACACCACTGTTTCCATCGCTATTACAGAACCGTACAAGAGATTTTCACCTCATACGACTCCTCGAGGGTCACAAATAAATCTATAAGAGTAATTCATCAAATTGGTTAGATATAAAAAAATAACATCCCCTTCATATGATTCTACTCTAGATATTAACACACATATAGATAGATTGACTTTCCATTTCAGATATCCGCCGATCCCGATCTATTTGAAAATAGCCAGAATTCATTTACCCATATATCGTTGGTGCAGATTCGGGTAAGAACAGTTCTTTGTGATGATTTCTTCCCTCAAAAATTCTTTTATTACACGCGCTCCTCCCATGTGTTTAGAATGTGTTCATATTATGTTCAAGATTACCAGTAGAGTAGTGTTAGAAATATTTGAAAGTATTTGAAAATATCGACTTAAGTGTACAAGAAGTGTCGCGAAGTGTTTGAAATCATTGAGAAAGTGTCCAAAATAATCAAAATTTATTTTTATTTTCAAACCTGTATATAAAGTGTCGAATACGTGTCCGACAAGTATCCAATGAATATCGATCTCCCACACGAAAAGAGTGAAATATTATTTTGTAATTGGCAATATTCTATGTCAAAACAAGTCTTAGTCGAGTTATAATTTTAGTTACCATATTAGGATTCGACATCGATTGCGGAATTTGGAAGGTTGTTCAGAAAAAGAAATACTGAGACCATTAAAAAAGGAAAGAACAACTGTTAGGAATTTGTTTTCCACTTAGGACACAATACCTACAAATATCCCAGAATTTTTAATATCGTAAGCCGCAAAAATGCACAAGTCATAGGGCCTCAAATGATATGTATATATATATATATATATATATATATATATATATATATATATTGAAATTGTTGCTAAATCAAAAGATGGCTTGGTCTAAAGGACCTAATTAATTTGGCTCCCATAGGAGTCCAATTTGTATACTCTTTTCTTCTATTTATACTACTTACCATTTTTACTATAAAAAAAAAAAAAAAAAAAAAAAAAAAAAAAAAAAAAAAAAAAAAAAAAAAGGAAGAAAAAAAATTGCCTCCAAATGAGAACCCTAAATACAGTTTGGCTACCTCTTTCTATTCTATTTCATGCTTCATTCATTCTCACTTTCAGTGCAATGATAGATGTTAAAGCTGAAGAATGGGCAATGCCTACTGTTGAAAATCCGATGAGAGGCGGAGTTCCGGTCAACACTTTTTCTGACCAGTTTGGAAAGGTAGAACAACCCACCAAGAACTCAGATGAGAAGAAATTTACTGGTTTTTGCGTCGATGTATTCAGAGCAGTGGTGAAGAATTTGAGTTCCACATATGATTTACCCTACAAGTTTGAGGAGTTTGCAGGCAGCTATGATGAATTAGTTAATTGTGTCGTCGACAAGGTATAATAAACCAATCTCCAACCTTTTATCTATCAAGTCTTTGATTACATATTAATCCCGTCAAGAGAACATTTCTTTTGAAAAAAAAGTCATGATTTCTCTTTATTATTGATTTCTACTTTCAAAAATTTTGAATTTTTTCTCAATTTAGTGTCAAGCCATACACAATAAAATTTTGCAATTACAATTTCTATTCAAATTTTTATACGCAAAACAAATTTTTGTTTAGCAATTCAAATATGTCTATAATTTTCTACTATAAATTGAACTTTTTGTCATTTTATAAACTTTATTTGCTACATAACTAATCTAAATTTTTTTTTTTTTTTTTTTTTTTTTCAGAAATTATACTATTTTTTCAATCATCCAAAATAAATAAATAGAACGTTGCTAAACTGTTAACTCACCAGTCACCATCAATATTTTATTTTAACATTTATTGGAAGTCTCATTCACGCGTTCCGTTGACTTTTTATTTTTATTAACCCCACTCTAAGATGTTTTCTCCTCCATCCAATCATTTATTTCTAACAAATACCCAATTGTGAAATTTTTGTTTTTAATTGAAGACTTTCGACGCTGCCGTGGGTGATATAACGTTGCTTGGTAGACGGTGGGGAGTTGTGGAATTTATTGCACTATTTACTGCCCCAGGTATGTCATTGGTGGCTACAGTGAAGCCCCAAACTTCCAATGCATGGATGTTTTTGACCCCTTTCACTACGGAATTGTGGATAGCGACTGCGGCCATTTTGATATACACAATATTTATAGTTTGGTTATTGGAGCATCGCTCCAATCCAGAATTCTGTGGCCCATGGAAGGACCAACTCGGCAACGTTCTTTGGTCCACCTTCTCTTCACTTTTCTCTACTCACAGTAAGTACAAAACATTTCATTAAACATATATTAGTGTGATTCAACCATTTAATTATTTGTAAATTGTTTTGATATAGTATTCATAGTCTTCATATATGTTACAAATTTTGATATAACTAGGGAATAAAATGAATAAATTTTGCAGGGGAAGGAATTCGACACAACTATACTCGAGTGGTGGTGGTGGTATGGCTTTTTGTGGTGTTGATCGTAACACAAAGCTACACTGCCAATTTCTCTTCAATGCTTACCATCTCAAGACTGAGTCCAAATGTCGACTCACTCATTAAGGACAATGCCGTAGTTGGCTGCTATGGCAATAGCGTTGTAAAAGACTACTTGGTGAACGTACTTCATTTCAAAAGGGAGAACGTCAGGGACGACATTGCCACCAAACGCCAATACCTGGAATCTTTCATTGATGGCAGTATCTCAGCGGCATTTCTTGAAGTCCCTTATGCAGAAGCTATTGCATGTCAAGCAATATGGCGATCTATTTACGATCACAGGACCAACATATAAATTCGGAGGACTTGGCTTTGTGAGTGGTGACTTCAAATAATCTTTTTTTATTTTATTATTTTATTATTTATTTATTTTTAAAGCAATAGTAATTAGTAAAACAAACACTATATATTTTGAATCCCTCTAGTTTCTTGAACACCACCTTAATTTCTTCATCACTAATCCATAAACAATAGCTATATAACCACGTACTTATAATTTACCCAAATAAAAATGATATATATATAACCATGTTTATCTACCATTAATTACATATGCAAACTAAGTTAATGTTAGATCTTCTCTTGCTCTATGCGCAGGTCTTCCAAAAGGGTTCTCCGATAGCTGCCAATGTTTCTAAAGCCATTCTAACACTAATGGAGGATGGCAGTTTGAAACAATTGGAAGATGAGTACTGCCCTACCTCCTGGGATTGTTCGAACTTTCAAACTGCCAAGGAGAAGGGACGTAGCTTGAGCCTCCAGAACTTCTGGGGTCTATACATCTTCTACATTGCCATTTCTACCATTTGTTTATTACTATTCATCGTTCACTTGTTGAACAATCTGCGGCACCACCATGAAGTACTTCTAGAAGGCAACATCACGCCAACTCGTGTAAGTGTTTGGAAAAGGATACTTTTACTCACGCGATTCTTGAATAATATTGCATATTCAAGAGATCCTGCATGGACTCAGATCTCAGGTGATGCGCCAAATTATATTAAAATTTATTAAATATACACCTAGCTATGTTGTAAATACAAAGGTGCTGTCCAAAAATATTCAATTCTATCAATTTCAGAAAGATGTATTGTTCTCTATTGCACCACAATGAATGCTTTTCAGATTAAATTTCCTTAATATTGTACCATAATGAATGTTTCTCAGTGTAAGTGTGTATTTGACTACCAACTATGAAAAAAAGAAAAAAAAAAAAAAGTGACGGAAGGTCCTCTACTCCTCTTACTTAACCTCCTGATAGATAGTAGCAGCAGGTGGCCAAGGCAAACCATGCCTCTGCTCGGGTAGTGGTGATGCTGCAGTGGTGCACATTTAATGCGCGTCTGGATACCAATTAAGGAATAAGTTACATATGGGAGTTTAACCAATCATAGCCACCTGCGCCCAGTAATAATAAAGAAGTGACAGATGGAACTTGTCTTCACAGGTTCACTTTCTGTTTGCTTTCCTCAGGGCAAGTGACGTGGGCATACAAGTTTATCTATCTATTTTTTTAAAAGTAGAGTGCTACATAAGCTAAAAAGTGATGATGTGGTACTCTATTTTTTTTTATCCATATGTTTTATGGTGTGGAATCCAATTATCTCATTCTCTATTTATTATTTTATTATTATTTTTTTAATTTACTTTGTATGCCCACTGCATATCAGAGCCGTTTGTCTGTGTTTTACTTTGTATCAATCAAACATAGCAGCCAACCCAATTAAAGAGAGAAAAAAAATTATAGCGTATTGTCTATAGCCCACTCCATCCGTAGAGAACATGAGAGATAATGTTCGTAGGGCCCACAAAACAATCACTCCACTTCTTTCTGCACATCGCCCCCCTCTCTCTCTCTCTATGCTGACACAATATCACTCTAAAAATAGTTGCGCCCGGATGCTCTTAATTGGCACACAGTAAGTCTTACTATCACATTGTAATACTAAGTGTAATATTCTGCCGATTCATGTTTTTTTTTTAATATATTATTATTATTATTATTTTATATTTTTATTTTTGGTGTGTTTGTGAGATTGAGGTGCTTTGATGGTACTGAACAAAAATAACTTCAAGAAATACTGCAAAAATACTTCGATTCTTGACAGTATTCATCTTCACTGTCGATGTTGAGGATATTTTCCGGTTTAAATTGATACACATCCCCAAGTACATATTACCTGACCAATTTATATCACCATGGCACCCCACTTAAAAGAAGTACAAAAAAAAAAAAAAAATTAATAATTTTTGGACCAAGTCTCCAAGAATGCTGATTGAAACTCATTAATTAAATAAGTCGGCAAGATTATTTAAATGGAAATGACGTAAGACCAAGAATTCATTCCATTGGTTAAATTTCAGCAATTCATTATAGAAAGTGATCATTTATAAATGAAATAAGAACCATTTATACAATTATACAAAAGAAATCGCTATGTTAGTGTTTTTTTTTTCTTTTCTTTTCTTTCTATTTTCTACTTGACCAATATAAATTAGGTGGTTAAGTCATTTGAATCTCACCAGCGCTCTCTGGAGTTCGCTTAATTTTCCTTTTCAATAAATATAGTAGAAAGCAAATGGTGGAAGTGGCTGCATAGATTACATAGAGGCCTAAGAAGTCCTCAATGTTCAAGCTATCATTTTCTTCGATAGTTCGAGACTTCAAACACTCCGAGGAGGGAGTAAACAACTGTTTCTCTAATTCTTTTATCTTCCCATTTTCTGATAGTTTAAGAATGGCTTTAGAAACATTAGCAGCTAATGTAGAACCTTTTTGAAAGACCTGCACAGAAAGCATGAACAATAATTGAATTACAATCAGTTATCCCAAATGTATTAACGGAATTGTCATTCTCGATATATATATATATATATATATATATATATATATATATATATGCATAGCTAAAAAAAATAAAAAATTGTCTGAAGTATGTTTTTTTTTTTTTTTGGTGTAGCAAATAACTTGGAGATATTAGAGAATGAAATGAGTGGAAAGGGTTCCATTCGCTACTACTCACAAAGCCGAATCCTCCAAATCTTCTGGTGAATGATCCATTGCCATACGCATACTGGTTGCAGTGTTTGTTGACAAAAACTCTGGCATAAGGAACTTCAAGAACTGCTGCTTGAATCCTGCCATTCTTGAATGCAGTATGGAACTCACTTTCGCTGCCGATGTCGATGATGTTCCCTGGTTTAAAAAGCTGATCATCCTCCAAGTACTTCCTAACAAATGCAGCACCATCGCACCCCACTGTTGCATTTGTTGTCTTTATCCACTCGATATCTCTCACTGGTGACTGGAGTCTTGAGAAGGTGAGCATTGAAGTGAGGCTCGCAGCGTAGCTTTCTATTAAGATCAACACCACAAAAAGCCACACCACGATCACGGTTCGAGTATAGTTACTTTTAATCTTCTCCCCTTCAAAATCAAAAATAAAATTTTATTCGTATATATCCATATAAGTAGAAAATTATTGGGATTTCATTTCTTTGCGTATATGCAATTATATTTATAAGTATTTACTTCCTAATTGGGCTAATGGTAGCATCATGAAGTCTATTTTCTTTGAAATCTCTCCAAATCGGGGAATGCTATTGGATATTTATGTTCTTAATTATTAAATAATAATAATACTTTTCACCACCTATGTGACATATTATAGAGTGACATGTGTCCATTTTAATTTAAAATATGTAAATATATATATATAAAGGAAAGCATTTAGTACAAATAGGTCCTCATAACCTTGCCTCCAAAAAGCCTCCTAGTGAGCATTTAAGTGTGTGAGAGAGAATTTACCTAAATTGAAAAAAAATTAAAAAACTTAGCTTGCCTCCAAATCTAAGCATAAATAAAATGGTACTGTTAATTCTCTGATTGCCGTTTAACTTGATAATATACTTACTGTGAGCAAAGAACAGAGTAGAGAAGGTGAACCAAAGCACATTGCCAAGTTGTTCCTTCCATTGGCCACTAATTAATTCTTGATTGGAACGTTGCTCCAAGAACCAAACTATGAACATTGTGGAGAAGAAGATTGCCCCCGTTGCCACCCACATTTTCATGGTGAAAGGCTTCAGAAACAACCATGCTTTCGAAGCTTTCTTCACTGGAACTACTATAAGCAAACCTGACTCGATAAAAGGTACTGTAAATTCCACTTGGTCCCAACGCCTAGTTGTTATCGTTATGTCACCAACAGCAGCAGCATAAGTCTTCCATCAATTTTTATCGACAAGTAGAAAACGAACATATCAGCAACACATATATAGTTGGAAGGGCAGGGAAAAAAAATTGAATTGAGAATATTATAAAAAATAAAAAAATTAAAAAAAAGCCCATTTCTTCGTTTGTTTATTTATTTTTTTAATCTTTCATCCAGATAGGTTGTAATACATTCAAAATCAAATAGCGATTTCTCATCACCCCAATAAAGTCACATTTGGATGGTCAGGTTAGAACTAATAAAGGTGCAACTTGTATACTCAACTTGAAACTAAATGGCTAACAAATTAATTAATTAAATTGACAGATGTTTGAAAATGATCAAGAGATCAGGTGATGTGTGATTACCTTGTTATGAACCGATTCAATCAAATCATTGTAGCTTCCATTGTACCGTTGAAATTCAGTAGTAGACGGTAGATCATATATATGATCCTCGTCCTCCAAAATCCTTTTCACCTCCTCATAAACACTGATACAAAAACCAGTAAACCCCTTCTCATCTCGGCTGAGGAATTCCTTAAAAGAGACTATACCAGGAACTGCAATATTCATTGGCCTCAACACCTCCGCGAAACCAGCCAAAATTTTAGTGGTACTAGGGCTATCTGAGAACCCTAACTCTGATGACCAAAAGCCAAGGTTATTGTTTTCCTGATTGCCAATGTTCACTATACTAAATTTTTGGGAGCTTGAAAGTCTTCCCACTTCAAATCGCAATTCTCCACTTAAACCTGTGAAGTTGCTTGATAAAATACTTTCCAACATTTTTGAGGAATTCATTTTACCAGCTGATTTCACTATCGCCTGTACAATAGTCATAATGCTATCATAAGCTCGTAGCGCATGAATTCCAGGCTCAGTGTTATCTTCCTCAGGATAATATAATTGGAAATTTTGCTGAAACTGCTCATGAAAGTGTTTGAAAGAACTGCTATTTTCAGAATAGTAGGGGTTGATTCCAAGAGTACCTTCCATGGCAGAGACAACAGGAGGGCTGACAGAATTCAGAAGGCTTCTGGTGGTGTCTGCAATTATCCACACCGAGTCCTTTCGCATAAAGCTCATCTTCTTCGCTTCACTGAACAAAAGATTTGTCAGCGGTAATGATGACTGTAGAAAAATAAACACCCTAGATTTTGTGGTGCTTTCTAACTTAGACAGCTCCTTATTTATGGACTGCTGAGGATTTGATAGATCAGAAAATGGTGGAAGCACCAGATGATAGTCTATATCCGAGCCAACATTTTTAAGGGCCTTGGACAACAGGGTTAGCTTCCCGGGATCACCACCGTGGATGTCTTCTTCGTAGATGGCTACAACACTTTGCCGAGTGAAGGATTGAACAACAGCTGCAATGCAATTCATTTGTTCGGAGTCATCAGTAACCATTTGCACCAAGAAAGGCCATCGAAGTTTCATCAATGGAGGTGTAATAGCAGCGGATGCAAATGAGAGAACTGGGACTTGAGCTCGGGATCCGATGTCTGCCACTAAAGCGGCTTCCTCCCATGTCTCCATGCCCATAATCACTTGGACTTGTTTCTCCTTAATCAGCTTTTCAGCTGTAGCAAAAATACGAAAACCCCATAAACATTAATCTATATAAATACACTCCCTTATTACATTCAATTATATACTAGGAAACTGCTTCTTGAAACGAAAAAAATAAATCTAACTAAGAAATAATATTAATTAGATATATAATTCCATGTGAGTCTACGTATTCATGAATTAAGCTACTTACCTATATATTAGGGCAAAGTACAGAAAACTACCCTCGACTTGTAACTTTTTTCAATAAATCTTCCTCGTCAATTTTTTACCAAAAAACCCCCCTTCAACTTGTAGCCATTTTCAATAAATCTCCCTTGTCCAATTTTTTACCAAATAACCCCCCTCAACTATCTAAAGGGTGTAAAAGAGTTGATATTTGGACCAAAATGCCTTTTTATTTAAATCTTAATTTTCCCGAACTTCAAAAATTCATATCTCACAAACCGTACATCCAAATATTGCAAGTAATATATGCACGAAAAGCTTATAAAACAAATATTCAAGATATATAAGATTTATTTAACAAAACTTCAAAACTAAAGAGAAATAGACAATCTAAAAATCTACTATAACAATTTTATTTTATTTTATTTTTTATAAAATACTCTGGTTATTTGAAAGAAAAATTTCAAAATTATTCACTTTCATATAGAGCATAACATATAAAAAAATTAGCCCGGCCGAATATTCATTTTTATATTTTTTAAACAGCGAGTCTATAAAAGAATGAAAATACTTTGACGCAAAATATGATATCTCATGAAATTGATCATTATTGGGGTTAAATTTTTTATATATTCGGCTCCATATGTAAATGAATAATTCTGAAAATTTTCTTACAAATATCTAGAGTATTTTATTTATTAAAAATAAAATAAGATTGTTGGAGTAGATTTTTAGATTTCCTATTTTTCTCTGGTTATGAAGGTTTGTTGTACAAATCTTAGAATTCTGGAATCCTTATTTTATAAGCTTTCCGCACATATATTATTTATAATTTTTAAATGTACAGTTTGTGAGATATGAATTTTTGAAGTTCAGGAGAATTAATATTTAAATAAAAGGACATTGTGGTCCAATTATCAACTCTTTTACCCAAAGTTGATGGGGGTTCTTTGGTAAAAAATTAGACAATGGGGATTTATTGGAAAAATGATACAAATCGAGGGAGATTCTTTGATAAAAAAAATAGGCAAGGAGGTTTACTGAAAAAGGCTACAAGTCGAGAGGGATTTTCTGTATTTTGCCCTATATATTATATATATCATTCCAGACGCATGTACATAACTACATATATATATAAATCTATGCATATGGTTCAGGTACGATGACTTGATTGGCGGAGAGAATTTCAGAAAAGGCAAAGAAAATAACTAATTACTAACCAGCATGAGCTGATCGGATGGGGTCAGTGCCAGAATTTCGAAAATGAAGAGAGAGCTTGTGAAGTTTGAACTTCTTGTTGAAGTTGTGAAGTGCTATTTTCATGACCATCTTTTGTTCTTTGCCGATACGAGAATCAACATCAATGATGGCACCGATTTGTATAGTTACTTTGTCAGCTTCAGCAATGAATCCATGAGAAAGAAAAAGAAGGAAGGAGATGAAGACATGAAAAAACAAACAGGTGGGTCTGCAAGTAGCAATATTCAAGTTGGAGATGAGTGGTAGGAAAGTCATTATTTGCTTTAAACTCATAATCTATACTGGATGGATACCGTTATTCCTAATATATAATATAATTATATACATGTATAAAACATTGTTAGAAAGAGATGTGAGGTGAAATATCGGCCTATGGTCCAAGCATAAGACTTATTCCACATGGCTACAAAAGTCGCTCGACATGTGGAAATTAGCCAAATAAAGATTGGGTCTCGGTTCATTTAATTTGGAAAATTAAAATTACGATTATATGGTATATTCAGCTGAGAAATGGATTCAGAATATTTTGAAAAAAAACAGGGGTATCCCACGAGTATATTCCCTGTCTAACCAATCAAAACAATCATTTCGTATTTTTATTAGAGAATTTTTTTTTTCCCCCTAAATATTAGAGAAATTAATGCTCATCATTTAATTGTGATCGTAATAAACCCGTTACCAACTCTATCTTTTTTTTTTTAGGGCGAATTGCAAAAAAAAACCCTCAACTTTCCCCGTTTGTAAAAATTCCCCCTTACGAATATTTTTAGCAAAAAATCTCCCTCAACTATCCCGAGAGAGTGACTTTAACTGACGTCCATTTAGTAAACATACACTATTACCAAATTACCCATGCTTTTCTTAATTTTTTTTGGTAATTGCCTAAAACGAAATTTATTTCCATTTGTTCACATTTGGACTCAATCTTTACAAAAGTTATACAATTGACTCACTAATTTACACCAAGTGAATTAACCAAAATTGACATTGAATATGTTCGTTTACACCAAGTGAATTATCCACCGACTCTCAGTATCATTCGTCTTTCTCATGTAATTCACTCACTCACATTAATAACTATACGAAGATCATGCAGATTTGGACTGAAATTCGAAGATTTACAGTTTGGGGTTTTAAACTGTAATTTTTTTTTTATTTATAATGGTGGTTGTTCCTTTTGAGAAGAAGACAACACGATCATTACTTTTAGTGGGATTATTATAATATTTAACTTTTATGCAAGCTCGTATAAAATACCCTTCTATACAAGAACATATAATATGGTTTCATACTAATTTAAGATGATATTATGGAAAAATTATCATATGAATATGATAAGATAAAAAAATAAAATAAAATAAAATAAACTTGACTTATAATATGGTTTCATACTGATAGGATAAAAGTAAATAAAATAAATTTGATTTAATTTTCACACACGTATATAGTATTATAGTATATATGATTCAATTATAATATTGAAACACTCTTTACATTCAACAGGCCCACCTGCAAAAAAATATATGATTCAATTATAATATTGAAATATTATTGTATGAATAAAACAGTATGAAGAATTTGCTGACATGGCGAGAGAGTAAATAATAATAAAAAAGTCCTTTACCGTTAAGGGGCAATTTCGTCCAAAAAAATAGCTCAGCAAATTATTTAAACGGACATCAGTTAAAGTCACCCATTCAAGATAGTTGAGGGAGATTTTTTGCTAAAAATATTTATAAGGAGTGTTTTTTGCAAACGGGTGAAAGTCGAGAGGGATTTTTTGCCATTTGCCCTTTATTATTATTATTATTATTATTTTGAATTAATTTCAGTAATATATTTTTGGCCAAATATCACACTCAAATAGTTTTCAAAAATAACTATAACTTATGTTTATTTTTACTTTTCTGTCACGATCTCGTTAAAAACGTGGCAAATATAACTTTACTCTTAATTTTTTAATTTCATTTATTCTAAAATATCAGATTACTTAAAGTACCATTATACCCCTAATTAATACTCTCACTCATATCTTTTTCACTCTTACCAACTTTGCTGGAGAATATGGGTGATGGTGGTTTTGAGGAGTTGTGGCCGGAGAGTATAGAGCAGATGAGGGAGAGGAGGAAGGACTTGATAGAGGATTGGAAGGAAGAAAGAGAAAGGTCACTGACCTCGCGATAGATGTAGGATAAGAACACTGTGTTAGAGTGTTTCTCAAGTTCATTATAGTGCTTTTGTTCGAGGTGGAGAAATCTTTAATTGAGGTGGAGTTATGAAGAGATCCGATCCTTATTCAAGGTGGAGCTATGAAGAAGCACGTGAAAATTGAATTTTGAGCCAAGGTGGAGATTGTTGGGTTTGTGGCTCAAAATTCGTGTGCAGAAAATTAGTTTCATCTTTTGTTTTGGAAGGCTAAAATTTGTGAGGAAATTGTATCCCATTATATTTTTATTTTAGAGTTTTGATCATTATGGTAACTCCTTGTAAGCAATTTGAGGAATATTTGTCTAACAAAGAATTGAGTTTAAATACTCTATAAATAGAAATGGGTATGAGAGCTTTAAAGAGAGAAAGAAAAGAGAAAAGATGTAAGGAGTTTAAGTGTAACGACCCGAATCCGTAAGTTCGAACCGCTAACCGGGTCCTTACCCGAACTCGAGGTCACCTAAGACTTTCCAAGACTCGTGGATAACTGTACTGGAAAGAGAAGGTAAAGCGAGCAACCAGCAGTAAACCGGTCGACCGAAATGGAGCTTTGGTCGGCCTGGAATAGCTCCTGTACCGGTCGAACCAAATGGCCATTTCGGTCGGCCGATTGTGGTCCCAACAGTGATGCATTTCGGTCGGCCGGTTGTAGTCCCAACAGTGATGGAAGCTACTGGAAGAATCAGTCGACAGAAATGGCCATTTCGGTCGACCAAAATGGTCCTGCGAGCTGCACTTTCAACTGAACTGCCATGAACCTGAAACTATGCATAAGTCTTGCTATAAAACCTTACAGCTACATAAATCCTGTCTCAGCACATAAGAAATCATAAAATACGGATTACAACATTTACTTAAGTTCATTAACGACATAATTACACACGATTCTGGATAGTCTCTTACAAGATAACAAAGTTTATAAAATTTACATTCCATGAGTCCCATTTGCTTCCACAATTTCTACATTTTCAACATTATACAAATTTCATCTCATCATTACAAAAGATACAAAACAAAAGTCCCAATCCCATTTAGAATTGGGGTGGGTTGTCGTCCGCCACGTCTTTCCCTGAACTTGAAAAATGTTAAATAATAGGGTGAGCGTAAGCTCAGTAAGAAGTGTCTAAGACACACTTCTTATAACCCCGTGAATCCATGCAAAAAATAGGCAAAGAGGGATGGGATCATATCATAAGGGGTATATGTCGACAACCACAACGACAAGTATATAACAAATGCCATCCAAACATATACACACCATATATGCTAATGAAGTGCAATGCCATGCAAATGTCACTCCCCATACCCAAAACATTTCCATTTCAACTTCCAAACCGTTAGTATAATCCGACCCAAGGCACCTCCAAGGCATCACAAAAAGAGGATTGGCTAACTATCCACGACTATAAGGCACCTCCAAGGCGTCGCATCCGGCCTAATTAACTCAACCACACACCCTCCTAGACTACACTAACATCGCGGACCACTAAGCGCCTCCTAGGTGTCCGGTTTCGCAAACACTTTTGGAAAACCTTTTCTTAAACAATTTTATTTATTTTAAAAACACTTTTTCCCTTTTTTCTTTCCCAATGGATGCATGAATGCTTCATGCTTCATGCTTCAATTAACAATTTAACCATAGAAGTTCACATATGTTTTTACAAATACATTACTAAAATACACAACTCATGTTTTCACTCCATATTATTCTAGCATATTAAACATACAAATCACAAATTTCATTTCATGTAGGCATGCTTGATCACAACATATCAATTAACACCTTGTCACAATTTCATATTTGGCATTTAAGTAATATCCAAGAACTTAGACTAATTAAGCATGCACTTTAACAAATTATAAGAAATTAACTCACAAAAGCATAAGAAGACCATGTATTAGATACCCCTACCTCAAGCTAGATGAAAATCCCCAATTTGATGCCCAAATTTTGAATTTACTAGGGTGGCCAAAAGTGTAAATTGTTGATATCTATGTGTAGATCTTGCCGTGCTCTTCGTTTTGCCGCAAACGACACCCAAAAATTCCAACAATTGAAAAAGTAATCAAAAGTTGAAGCTCTGATGCAAAAAGAAAAGAAAAATGAAGGGAAGAGAGTGAGAGAGATAGAGTGCCAGGGAGAGAGAAGAAAATAAGGCTAAAATGGTGGCCTCATGGTTACTAATGCATTTGTGGTGGGTCTCACCACTAAAATCCCACCTTTTTCCTTTTATTTGCACCACACATAAATATATGTACATAAACTATATAACAACCACTTAGAACATAATAAATAAAATGAATGAAATGCAAATGAACCCAAAATAAAATCCCCATACAGTACGATTCCGGTAGCAGGTCCCACCTGGGACCGTCCGGCTCAAAAAATGCAAAAAGGCAAAAATGACAACCAGTGCATTTCCAAGAGTCCTAAACTCAAAGAAATGCCATAACCAACCCTCAGATACACCCAGCACACCCCACGATGTTCGGCACGCAAAACAAGAAAAAAACGAAAATACCCCGGAAAACCAGAAAATTTAAGAAATTAGGAAATGACAAAATTCAGGAACATTACAATCTCCTCAACTTAAAAGGATTTCGTCCTCGAAATCAAACCTTACCAGGGGAAGAAAACAACGTTGGATACTTAGAGCGAACTTCCTGTTCGAGCTCCCAAGTAGCCTCCTCTACTCCGTGATGCCTCCAAAGGACCTTCACCAATGGTATCGTCTTGTCCCTTAACACTTTCTGCCGTGTATCAAGGATCTGAACTGGTCCTTCCTCGTAGGAAACATCCTCGTCCATGTCCACATCAACCCAATCAAGAATGTGAGATGGATCCACTTTATACTTCCGTAATATCGATACATGAAAAACATTATGGACCCTGTTCAACTGTGGTGGCAAAGCAAGTTTGTAGGCAACCTCTCCTACCCGATCCAAGATCTCAAAAGGTCTAATGAATCATGGTGATTGATAAGCGTCGAATATTGCATATTCAAGCACCTTTATTTGCATTAGTTAAGTCCATTAGTTAATTATGCTGTATATATTAGC